TACCTGGAGGCGACAAGGACTGCGACTCGACTTCACGTGAAGCCGCTCTTAGGTTGGAGGCCGCTAAGCGAACGTGTTCAGTTGTGGTGACCTGTTTGCGGACTGCATCTCAACGTCTTGGCGCACTGAGCCTGGGCCACTGCAGCCTGGGCCACTGCAGCATTTGAAGGAAAACCACATGTGACATAGCATCACACATGTTCTCATGTCTTGATCTGGAAAACCACTGTCAAGTCACACAAGTTCTCACACCTTCGATTATTGCGAACTATATTTCATCGTAGTTTGACTCGTGTGTTTTCTTGTTTTCGCCGATGTCTGCTGACTTGTCGCTGTCCATGTTGTTCGTGCTACTGTCATTGCTGGGCTGCGGTCTGCTTTGGCTGTTGCTGTCACTTCTGGCACCCTGGTGGGATTGTTGGCTGGTTCCTGGATTATGTCTAAAGGTCAAGACACTTTCCGTAGAACCTAATGATCCTGTCAGATCGGGAGATTTAGAGAAGCATTGTTTCTACATGTTCAAAAGACGTTGAAAAGACATGTGTTATATGTATGTTGTTGTTTTTCTCGTTAGATCTTTCGTTTCTTTTGATCTTTAGGTCTTCTTTTGTCCTGCCCTTGTCATCCTTGTCTTGATCGGGAGATTTAGAGAAATACGGGGGAAACATGGTGGAGCAGACCTCCTTCAGCTGATGTTGTCAGTTACGCAAGCAAAAACGAGCAGCATTGCTCGAGCTGACACTCCTCTTACTCAAAGTGACACACTGGCTGACACACGGCGAAGACACTCTCTTGCCTTTGGTTTGTAGATCGCGCCAGTGAGAGTGCATGCCAGGATGGCCTGAGGCACCGTTTGGGACAAGAACATTGCTTTTAAGAGATACCAGGCAAGGAGGAAAGCAAAGAACTAACAAAGAAAAAAGTCTGAAGAAAAACAATAAATTCTCAAAACAATTCAAGAACAAAAAGAAAAATATGTGAGAAACTGTTCAAAAGAAAGAAAGAACGTGTCACCGCTTCATGAGACAGCTGTCTTCTAACATTAATCAAACTGCTGAGAAGTGAGGCCAATGAGTCAACCAAACAGAGCTCGAACTGTTTTTTGTTCTTTTCTTCAAACGGAGTTGGGGCGTGTAGGTTGGAGTTGGAGAGGACTTCCATACGCCTCTCGTCGATTTGCACCCAGTTGGGTGCGTGCTCGCATGCCTGTGCAAGAAGTGTCTCACAACCATGAGCGCTCAGAAGAAATAAAAGAAAACAGGAACCCCTAGTAGTTTCTTTTTACTAAATGGAAATAATCTGAATGGTACAAAGAAAACAGACACAAATTAAGAACACTTCAAAAGGCCTAAGGTCTGATGTCCTGAACGGTTGGGATCATGCGAAGGGTTCAAGTTCCCACCTCTTTACTAAAGCACTTACCTTCTAAGATACCTGGTGCTACATTCTACCTTCTCAAGGCCTACCAACCTAGTAGCGATGGCCTCCAACCTACTAGCGATGGCCTCCAACCTACTAGCGATGGCCTCCAACCTACTAGCGATGGCTTCCAACCTAGTAGCCATAGCCTTCAAAAAAATCCGTCGTCGGTCTTAGACTTTCAACACAGACTGCATACACTGATGGCCACACCAGCTGCACCTCTCCAAACTGCCAAACCGAGAACCGCTGATGCAGCAAGAGCGCAATGCTGTGGTCTGAGCCCACGAGAAAAGACAAGAAGAAAAGACGAATTGCTCTAAAAATACAAGTAACAAAAGGAGAGAGTAAAAATGCCACACTTCCAAGCAACACCCAGGGCGACACCCAAGTGAAGATAATATGAGTTAATCGGATGTGCTCTTTTTGCAACCAGACATTTCACAGCTCTTAGTTCCTCGCGAACATCCAAACGACGGGAACTCAAACTTGGACCTAAGTTAGGGACGGCGCAGGCAATGGTCCGGCGTCAAAACCGGATATACAAACATGTATTACACACAGATATGTTTCACAAAAAGACTATATGTTTACCAAAAACATTTCTTTGTTTACAACGATCTATTAGGTTGGAGGCCATCGCTAGTAGGTTCGAGGCCATCGCTATTATTTGTGTTTCTTTGTTTACATATATACAAGATTCCCCACATTGGTGTTTCGCACCTACATCTTCCATTGAAAAAGTGCCTCGCTTCTATTAACAAGTGCCTTACTAGTAGTAACAAGGACGCTACTAGAAACAAGAAGCTACTAGAAGCAAGTGCATCGCTTCTAGTAACAGTAACAAGTGCCTTACTAGTAGTAACAAGAAGCTATTAGGAACAAGTGCATCGCTTCTAGTAACAAGTGCCTTACTAGTAGTAACAA